CAGCTGAACAGTCAGGAAATCCCTTTGCATTTCCAGGGAATTAGCTGGGAGTTAACCTGAGTAAAACCTACAAAAGATGAGTTTAAAGCATTGTGACTTACAAAGCCAGAAATGCTGACTTACAAGTGACAGTAAAGCACAAGGTGCCTGCTTTGTGCTCCCTGCAGGGCCCACTGACAGTGTTCTCAGCCAAGCAGAGATGGACAGCCCCACGGACCATCTGCCTCCACCATGAAGCAGCAGAGCTTGGATTCAGTCTGAAAGGAGGTTCACCAGTACAGATTTATTGTCTTGATCCAGCTTCTTCTGCAGCAGTAAGTATATTGGTGTGATATGAACCATTTCTCTGCAGACTCTAGCAATAAAATGTACCTTTAGCTAGTTCATACTCATGGATTTATTGAGTCCTTTACATTAGGATAGTAAATTCTTATAATCTGAATACATTTTAAGTGTTATATATGCTGCAGATTGTTAAAGTACCCATATCCCCAACATCACATGAAACTAGAGTTGATTTCTTTCTCTGTTCATTCTTCAAAAGTCACAAATAATAAAAGCAAATGTTACTTCCTGTCTTATTCAGGAGGTTAGAAGGGATAAATACTTCAAAAGGTAGCATCAAGAATAAGGATCAGGAAGGGAATGCAAGGTGTAATGTTTGCCTAAGGAAAGAAGGGCAAGGATATTTTATTGGCTTGTAATGTTGTTCTTTCAGGGAAAATCCAAAGTGATAAAGCAGCATGCAGTGAAAAGCAGTTCACTTATAGAAAAGGCAGAAGTAACCACAGAAATACAAATTAAAATAATGAAGAGAAAGAATTACACACTGCAGGCAATGACAATAGCATAGCAAAACCCAGGGTTCACTTACTGAAGGAGAAAAGTGAAAAGAACATAAAACCAGCCAACATTTGAGTATAGCAGAATCACATCAGTGGTAACTCCAGAGGTAGCTTGTGTACTTGAGAAAGTTACACATGTGTAGCTAGAGAATGTGTTTGTAGCATCTAAGAGTGAAATGCCTTTGGAGCAGGTACTCTGTGATGACAAAAACATTTACATGTCTTTATAATTCTGGAAAATAACCTGTGTCCAATTTTTTGACAGTCAGCAGGCCTAAAGGAAGGTGACTACATTGTATCAGTTGGTGGTGTGGATTGCAAGTGGCTTGGTGTCAGTGAAGTGCTGGAAAAACTGAAAAGTGTGGGAAAGCAGCCCATGGAGATGGAGGTTATCAGTTGCCAGGATACAGCAGCATCTTTGGTATGTAATGAGGCAAACTGGCAGGTTTGATATGCTGGACTTGTGTCACTTGCCTGCCTTCAGTTCCTGGTCAATGTTTACTTTCCTGTACTCAGATTCCCACTGGGAATATATAAAACTTTCAGATGTGTGTTCAGTTTTAAACCATCTGTTGAAACCATTGTGACCTAGCAAGCTAAAGCAGCCTGGCTGCATAAGAATGGGATGGAATTTTTTGCAGTGCAGCTACTTAGATTAATTGCATGAAAATTTTGAAGGCCTAGTTTATTTCCCCTAACTTGTCCCAGAGGATGAAGGCATTACCCTCTTCAGCAGTGGAAAAACCACAATGAAACAATAATGGAATGAAATAGAACATCCAAGACCATGTGCTTATTTTCTATGCACTGTTATTCTAAATGATCTGTGTGACTTTTGTATTAGATCATGGATTATTTTATGTCTTTTTTTTTTTTTTATTTTGATGAACTTTTAACTGCCCAGTCAGTTACAAAGCTACTATAGAAGCTTTAGACTAAGTCATCACAAGATTAAAAAGTATTAAGCTCTAAATAACTTAATAGTTGTGTGAAAGAACCTGTAGTTCAGCTAAATCCACTGATTCATGCCTTTAACATTCCCTGGCAAGATTAGACACTCAAGTAATGTTGCCTGAGAAGCTGTTAAGGTGCCCCTACTGCTGTTAGGTTTTCTTGTTTTATTAAAATTGGTTTTCCTTATTGAAAATAAGGAATTATGCATCTGCCATTCCAAGCTGCAACTCAAAGGCTAGAATATAAGCAAATTGTTTCAGGGCACAGCTAAGAGGAGACAGAGAAGGCTGTCTCTGTCAGGTATCCCAGGAGAATGTCACACAGGAGCTCCTGCAGTTGTGATCAGTACAAAACCTGTCCAAAGAGATTCTCCTTCACATCTGTGCAGGAATTGCACACTTGAGCTTTGTAGGGAGGTTACTGTGTATATTAAATAGTTATGCTGGAAGCCAGTAAATATTAACAACCCAAGGAAAGATTCACAAGTTCCTTTATGCTTTGCAGAGTATACCTTTGAGTCTCCATGTGCACAATCCCAGGGTGACAGCACTCTGAAGGGCCTCGTGCTCAGCAGTGTCATTAGCACAGAAAGCTTGCTGCAGGCTGCCCTGCAAAACTGCTTGCACAGTAACCTTTTGTTATTCTCAAAATTTTGACCCATTTTGGATGAGTGATTCTTACAATGCTTCTCTTTTTCCCACAGCATAGCAAGAGTGCAACTTACTCCATGGGAATGCAGAAGACATACTCCTTAATCTGTTTAGCCATGGATGAGGATAAAATTGATCAGACCAAGAAAACCCCACTAAAACTTCCTTTTCTAAGCTGGGGAACTAAAAACAGACAGAAAGCTGCAAGTACACTCTGCCTTCCTTCAGCTGTGGCTGGAAGTTCTCAGACTAAGAAGAAGCTTTCTCCCTTCACACTTTTCAATACAGAAAGTTCATTGTACTGAATCTTCCAGAAGTATCTGTTAATGTGACTTTTGTTTAAAATGTAAAAATATTGATCAATTTTATCTTCACATACGTATGTATAAACCCAGACAAATACTGGTGACTTCATTTGCTGTGCATTGAGCCACTTGTGGTCAGAAGCTGGCAGAAACTGTAAAACTGAGGTATTTGAAGGTTAGAATGAAGTCCTTTGGGAGGTATGCAATAACAAGATGTAGATTCTAGAATTGCTTACATGAAGACTGGACTCCTTTGGGGTTTCAAAATACAGTTATGACTGATTTTTCATAAAAATAGTCATAGCTATGCTAGATGGGAGTTATTTATTACAAACTTGATGCTGAATGCAAAATAATAAGGGGACATGTTAGAGAATGATTTTGCTCTTAAAGTTAAGAGTCAGTAATAAATCATTTAACATTACTTTGAAAAACTATCTTAACAAAGCACAGGTGAGAGAATATATTATTATTCAGAGAAACAAATCTAGTGTCAAGGAGCAGTGTGATAGAGTTGTGTTTTATGCAGAGGTGCTTCCTCACAGTACTAGGTGTAGCCTACTGAACAGGTCATTTAATTCTGGAAGAGAATTACAAGGCTGAAAATTTAAAAGGTCTTTTGAACTCCAAAAGGCTTTTACTCTCTTCTTTTTTCTGATTTAAGTAACATTTTAAATGCCTGTTGATTCAGTTGTTAAAAACAGGCTTTATTCCAAATGTTATTTAACTTACTTACCTTAAGACTTGTATCTCACTTGTCTTGATAAAATGGATAGCTGTGAAACAAATCTCAAAATGGATGTATTATAATATATTGATTCGAGAGCACATAAATTGCAGTGGTGCTTTAAAATATGATAAAGGAAGTGCTTGTGCTAAGTGGCAGGATATTTATTTACTATCACATCAAGCAAAAAAAATCTTCTGCCCTTGGAAAAATTAATGAGCAAGCTGTATCTAGAGTAAGGAGGGGGACAAAAATAACTGGTGAGCATTTCTTTGAGGTTCTTCTGTTTCCTTAAATTAATTGAACATTGCTAACACTGTAGTGTTAGTTAACTTTGCCATCTACAGAGTAGATAGATACTTGAAATTTACACAAAAATCTGCATCTTGCTGTAAACTTTTGTCATTTATTTTTAATTTCTTATGTAGTAGATGTAAATATCTTGATGACCCTTATTTAAGAATAAAAATCAGATGCTGCCATTTACTAGTAGCTTTTTAATTCTGCTTCAGTTTGGATGATAAAGCATAATTTACAGGTTTTTGCTATTTACTGTTGCCATACTTCTTGTGTGTTTCTCTAATGTTGCTTACAGAGATCTAAGAAACTTTTCTTAAAAGTTCCTGTAGTGTGCAATATCAACTAAGAGTTAAAAACCAACTTCTTTACAAAGAGTGTAAACACATTTCCAGTTTCCCTGTAAAGGTTACATGAAAAATCAGCTGTAAATTCCTTGTGACTTGCCTATCCTCAGCAGTTACTCTTTAGGTGTACTGGTAGTAGTGCTTCTTTTACACACACACAACCAGCAGCCAGCCCCTGATGTGCACAGCCCTGCCTCACACTGTTCCATACAGATGAGATTTACTGCTGAAATTGCTATCCAAGTACCCAAACCTTTACAAAGTCACAGCAATCACTCTTGCAGCTCTTCATTTCTCCTAAAACACTCTCATAGTCTTCCTGGAAATACTTTCCCTCTTAGCTCCTGGATAATTGTATTTCCCTTCCCATCATCACATTCACTTGAGGAAAGCTTGGCTTTTAAAATTTAAAACACACCCCAAAATTCAAGCAAAAATGTGGACCTCTCAGGTGCCAAACAAATACTCTTAGTTTTCTGTTCTACACTGAGTGGCAGCCAACAGCTAACTCAGCTAGCAGTGAAAGGAGTGAGTGCATTTTGTTCTGCTCAGGCCACAGGAATTAATTTTTGTAGCAAGTGTCTACCACAAGGATGTGTAAGGCCCTAAAAAGAAAGGTTAGCAATGGATTAGTAGCACAGCCTGTTACCCCATGAAAATTAATTGTTACTCCTTCAGCTGAACTGTATTTAATGCACTGAGCTTTTCCATAGGGAAAAGGTGTTTGTCTTGCAACACAACAGCCTTTAGGTGTGAAATCCACTCTTCATGGCAGTGACAAAATCGTAGAGGAATAAAATCTGAGCAAACCCATGTAGAAAGAAGCTTAAAGTACTCCCTAGTTGCCTGAAAAAAAGTAGTATCTTTTCCTGTACTTTTGGAAATTCTGATGTTTATTATTCACTAAATTAAATAATTATGTCCTAAGTTAGAGACAAATTTTCATCCCAAGTACAGAATCAATACAAATATCAGGTCCACCTGCTGTCCATGCTAACCATGTGTGTAAGAGAGGACTTTCAGAGGTGCCAAGGCTCCCACCACAGCAGGGAGTGGAAAATCCTCAGCTGCCTTCCTGCTGTGGTCTAAACTCCCAAATGGTATCAGAGATGCTTTTCACACACCTCCTCAAGGCAAAAGACAATTTTACCCTTAGAAAATAGGGTAAGAATATAACTTAAAATAAAATGCAAGATGTCAGGAAAACCAATATGCTTTACAAATAGATTTTCAAAATATTAATATTGAAAGAGTAGTATGAATTACCAGTTTTGTTCAAAGCTTCCATATTTTCTTTGTAGTGTATATTATAGTATGATTGATAGTGTAATTAACATATTAGAAGTTATAATTTATCAAAATATTTTGCAATTTATTATTAGCATGCCAACCTATATTCAGAAAGACAACAGAAATTAACCAATATTTTGGATATCAGACACATGGGAATAAATTTGTTAACACTCCATGAACTGGAGGGGTGACGAGAGAAATAAGTTAGTGTGAAGTCAAATGTGTTTTCCAGTAGGACTCTCCAAAGGAACTACAAATCATAAATCAAAAATGTTACAAAAATGTTAAAAATAGATTTACAAAACCTATTTGTAAAGAGAATTGGTTTTCCTGAGATCTTGCATTTTAAGTTATATTCCTATCCTATTTTTCCAAGGGTAAAATTGCCTTTTCCCTTCAGCAGGTGTGTGAAAAGCATCTCTCAAGCAATATATGCTGTCTTTTTAAACACATGTAACATATTTCCAGTTACTGAGAAGTTACTATGCACATATTCATATGGTGTTTTTTTCTGGAAGACCAAAGTAAGCAAGCAGATTGCTCTTCCATTTTTTAACGCTGATGCTGAAAAAAGAGATTTCTTCTTTTTTATTTGTTCCAGATAGATACAAAATACACAGAGTTCTTTCCAAGGCAATTTCCACAGCTTAATCTACATGAACAGAGCAGATGTAAAAAAGAAGCATCAGAGGCCAGTTGCTGCTAGCTATGATTACAGAAATCAAAATGATATGTGATTATTACAGTGAAAATGTTGCAATTCAGAAGAAAAATCGCAAGGTTTTGTTTTGGAAAGTACCACTGCACGTGCACGTCAGGAATGTAGAAAAGTATAAATCTGTTGAGCTGCTGTTGATCCAACTGCCTGCTCCAGCTCGTGGCTGTCCGCGTTGCAGAGGCGGTGGATGCTCCCGAAGCGCTGCAGCAGGAGCAGAGCTTTAGTTCTGCCCACGCCGGGGATGCGCTGCAGCGCCTGCAGCACCGCGGGCTCCGCCGGCCGCCCGCGCTGCCGGCCCACGAACGGGTTGGAGCCGCGATCCCGGCTCTGCTCCCGCACCTGCGAACAGAGAGAGCCGTCAGCGACACCCAGAGCTCCTGCACAGCCCTGGAACAGAGAGAGCCGTCAGCGACACCCAGCGCTCCTACTCCTCCTCGCTCGGCTTCATCTCTCAGCATTCAGTGCAGCCGCCAGGAAGGTGAAATACAAACTCCCTCCTTACCTGTGCTCCCTTACGGGATGCAGTTCGACAAAACCTTACTAGGAAACCTGGCACAAACAACATTTTTTATGACAAATCCTTTCCTTAGGATCTTTTCTCCTGAGAAGCCTCAGAAATGAAATGTAAACAATGGTTATCTGCTGCTGTGGAATGCAACAGGTGCATCTGGGATTGGTCTCAGGTGGTTGTTTTTAATTAATGGCCAATCACA